TAAAGAAAATATCCAGCGACTGGTTATCCAGTCCAAAACAACAAAATGGCAAAAGTTTGTCTGAAACATCCACAACTAACGACGCAAGAAATAAGTGAGAGTGTTGCAAATCGCCTCCTTTAGACGCTCCAAGCTAGCATTAGCTGAAACTGTCACCCCATCAATCCTGTCATGTACTTCCTTGAAGGCTTTGACTGTGTTTTCTACAAGTTTGAGAATTTTAACCCTTATCTTTTAAACAACGGACCCAGTCTCTTTGGAGATGGCATGGACGTCCCCAACCGATGATTGAGTTGCAGCAAGAAGGTCCTTAATGATGGTCAGCTTGTTGTCAATAACAGTCAATTTTTCTACAAGATCAGGATCACTTACACTATGATGGGAAACACAGGCTTTGATCTTAGAATCAGGCTGAATATTCTTGACTTCACCCTCCTGTTTCTTCACCCAAGAACCCTTAACATACACATACCCCATACTGGCAAAGGCTCTAGAGTGTTAGGACTTTGAAATAGAAACAAAGGGGTATTCTGAGATAGAGATGTTGGGGGCTTCTAAGATATGGGTGATAGACATACCATAAGGTAGACTGGTGGGGTCATCAGCACTTTCAATTATGAAGTTTATGACCCATGAGGACAGTTTAACCTTAAGTTTGGTCACAAGACAGTAGACAAGAAAGGTGTCTCATTGAGAGAAGATGGAGAATGAGCCAGTGCGGGGAAGAAGGGTAGTTGCAACAATGTGGGCCAGAACTCGAGTTCCAAAACTAACATCGCTGGGACCTAACTGGTTAGGAAGGAAATCAGATGGACACTCATCTATACAACATTTTGCTTGATCAAAAGAGATTTCAAAGTCATCAGGCCAAGTATTTTTGAAAAGCATGGGAAAGCCAGAGCACTTACACTGAAAAATTGAGTCAAACATGGCATAATAAAGGACAATGCGTTTTCCTAGAACTAGGGATTCTAACTTATCAGGCTTGCTGGAATGAAGATTGGCATAAAACATCCTCACTAAAGGTTCATAAACTTTGGGAGGGGGTACAAAGAGGAATATAGACCATCCTTGAAAAACAAACAAATCCTTTACCTTAAAATTGAGGGCCTCCATGTCATCAAGATCGATTACTCTACCATGAGCAATGAGCTTGTCTTTGAGAGCAACAAAGAAGCACCTATTTGGGGTATCCCAGAAATTAAGGTCGGACTCTAGAGAACTCGAGAGGTCTACTTTGGATTTCTTGGGGATAAAAGATTCAAGGGGGTCTTCCATGGGCCTTTTGCCAAGAGCTTTTTCTCTTATTCGGTGAGAGTGGTCAGATGGTTCTGCCTGAGAAGAGACAAACCCTTTTGAGTGGTCAGACCCTAGGTATACTTGTTCTGGAGGCTGAGAAGAGGGTTTCCCCTTAGAACGAGTACTTTTTCTTGTGAAGACGGATGGATTCTTGGAGTGTTTAGCCATTGGAAGATTTTGAAGAAGGGTTTCTGGGCGATAAGAACAATGAAGACAAGAAAGGATGGTTCAGATGATTAAAAAGAAAAGGTTTTGACGGTTGAGTATAGGAAAGGAAAGGAAATGAAAGGGTGTTAGTGAACGGTTATGATGATTGATTTTTCGTTCTTGAAAGCTGTTACTGATGGGAAAACAGAGGGAAATCGGAGGCGCTTAATTAATGCGTACTTACAGAAAAAATAAAACTGAAAACATTAGACACACAAGAATTAAAATTAACACATAGGTCCTAATTTTTATGATCAAGCGAAATAATGCCAAGTAGTTCTCTTAGGGAGCAAAATCTATCTTCAACTAAAGGCTTATTAAAAATGTCTGCTAATTGATCAGTGGTGCCAACAAATGATAATTCTATATCTCCCTTAAGGACATAATCTCTAATGAAATGATGTTTAATATCTATATGCTTAGCCCTAGAATGATGCACATGATTCTTTGAGAGACGTATAGCACTAGAGTTATCACAAAATATTTGAATAGNGCATATTTGTATCAATGTAATTGTGTATTAATCTTTGAACTGTATGTAATAAATGAGGACATATTAATTTTTTGGTGTATTGCTTTCTAAGTGTTGTGGTGATGAACACAATGTTTGTTTCTCTTCAAATATTTTGTCCTATTTAGGTTTATTTTTTAGTGAGAAACTTTTATCAATTTATTAATTATTATAACTTATGATTATATGCTTATCATAAAAATTATCTTATCTAAGCACATTTGTATTTAAAATAAAATGACAAATAGAATATTTTGTATTTGAATCGATCTAGAATCTAAAATTTCGAAGAAATTACGCCCTTATAAGTGTAAACAATTCTAAGGTTATTTAAGTCATTTTAATAGAAAAAGAGCTTATCAGCACTTTTTTATCAAATATTGCAGCAGCTTATTATCAATTTCAGCACTTGTATCCAAACACATAACTGCTTATTTATTAAATCAGTTTCAACACTTAAAAGTATTTTTCAGCACCTAATGCTTATCAGCTACTCCAAATCAGCTAATCCAAACGGGCTCTATTTCACCCCTATTTGCGTATCCTAACGATATCCAATAATGACCCGTGTTGCAGTGATTATTGGGGAGTCCATGTTGCTGCATATTGCATGTACGTGTGGTGTGGAACAATGAAATTTTTTATGGAATATATGACAAAATCTTTAAAAATGAAATATAACTAGAGAAGGAACAGTCCCTTTAAACTTTTAAAACCATGGAAAAAACAATAGGAATAAACTTAAAGAGTCCGTTTCCCACTACAATTAGTTTTTGAGTCACTCATTTGAGAAGTATTTCGCAAGAAATGGCTTTTCTTCCCATACACAAGAAAAATCTTCATAAGCCAGCAACTCAAACAAATGTCAAAGGTATCTCTTTAGTTCAATTTTTTTAAATAGGGAAAGAGAGGAAAAGAGAGTAAAGTCCTTTCCACGATATCCAATAACATCTTAACTACTATATTGGAGAGTAAAAATACAAATAAAAACATTTTTTTTAAAAGAACAATATGTAGAGCAATTAAATAGCATGTTGTTTGGTAATTATAACATGCACAAATCAGAAGAAGATGGTCTAAGATTTACTTTTAGAAAAAAATATATTATTAGAGTAAGAGAAAGTTAATTAAGAAAAGAAAAAAAAAAGAAAAAAAAAGGAAATGTGGGATGCCTTCTCTTGCATTTGCGCTCTTGCCCTGGAAAAAAATGTTTTACCCCCCATCCACACACACTAATTTGTTTACATAGTTGAGAGAAAATCAAGAAATGGTGCACATGGGCTATGAATAGAAAAAGAAAATGAATCTAATTATCAACATTCTTTTAAGTGTATCTTAGTGATACGATCGATGAGATTATGGCCAACTAGGATCAATTAAAAGATATTGATCGTTGTCGTTAAAGAATTTTTGTTTCTTTATGAAAAACCGAAATCAACATGTGTGCTGTGGAAATGGAATAATGAAAAGATTATGGGATTTGTGGTACCGGAAATGACAAAATTGAATTTGCCTGGGTAAGTTTACTCTACTTTACCACTTATCATTATCAATTTTAATACTTTAATTATCTTAACATAGTAGTAGTTGCTTTTTTGTACAATTAATTAGTTTCAATTCTTAAATATACTTTTCTATCATTTGATGCTTATCAGCTATATAGTCAATTAAAACAAGCTCAAAATCTTACAAAGAGAGAAATATTTAGAATTTTAATACATTGAGCGGAATTGTTTTAAAGAACTGTGCCTTTAACCTTTTAAAGCTATAGGAAAGCAATAGCGAATAAACTTTCAAAAGAAACTTTTTTTTAATTACACTAAACCAAATAGTGTTTTGGTCACTTATTTGAGGAGTATTTCGCAAGAAATGGTTTTTCTGCCCATACACAAGAAAAACCTTGACAAGCCAACAACTTAAACAAATGTCAAAGGTATCTGTAGTTCTTCCAGGGCAAGAGAGGAAGAGAAAATTGAGGGAAAAAATAAAACAAAATGGAAAAGTGGAAACTTTCTCTTATCATGCGTATTTTCATCCTTCAATTGAAAGAAAAAAAAAACTCTTCTTCTTTTATTTTATTTTTACTAAATTGTGTACATGCTCAGGTTTTAGCAGGAAAATAAGTAAAGCAAAGGTGTGCCTAGCTAGCTAGGCTATGTTTTATCTTTTATGTTCTTTTGGAACTGGTCTCTTTCATTTGATCCAAATTTACTAAACTATATAGTTGTCTTTCTGATTCATTCGTTGTTCTTTTCTATCTAAATCGAACAAAAACTAGATCAATTTTTGCAAGTAAAAGATGACGTTCTTGTTCTTTCATTCTCCAAATTACCTGCTTCAGCTTTCAGGATTGCACTGGCGGTCCAGTAGATACACGAGGAAATAACCACCTCGTAATGTGAAGCTAAATCACACTAAATGCAAATAATATTTTTAGAAAAGAATCTTTAAAAACAAAAAAAGTTCTCGTCGTGATGTTTCTTTTTCTTTGTGGGAATGCCAAAATTAAATGTTAGGAGTAACTTGTTTCTACTTTCAGGCAAATAGTGAATCACGAACTGTTTGGTCGTACAGGATCTTTAATTAGTTCGCCGTATCTTAGCTAAATTAAGTACATTAATTAGCTTATGTTACCTGTGTCAGGCTCTTTTTAGTGTAACTATTTTTTTTTTTTTGGGCTTTCTGAAAACATATTAGAGGTTCAATGTGAACATTCGTTCCTTAACTAAGAAGTTTAAGGAAATTGGATTATGTAGCCTTATATTGCGATGTCAATGAAAAACTCAAAAACGTCGCAGTTCAAGGAACTAGTGACGAGAAAGCAAAACAATGAGACTTGAACAAGCCTTTTCATACTCTTCACCTGCTTCTTATCTCATTAATCATTTAGTATGGATGGATTAAAAAAATATTTAAAAAATAGCTTTTTCAGCAAACAACACAAAATGATTAGTTATAATCAAAGCATTCAACAAGAAAATATTAAAAACACTAAAGTAAACACCTTTCTTCGTGTCTAAATTCTGGTAATCATCCTTGAATTTAGCTTAGTCATAGTTTGTAGTACAAGCGTCCTACTGGCTTCCAATTCATCAATCGAATTAAAACCATTAGCTGAGCTGTTATTTCCGAGTCATCACCAAACAAGAAGCCAGCACAAAAGATAGACTCTCTTATAAATAGTCCTCAAGTAATTTTCTACAATATTATTCATATGAAATATTCTTTAAAGATGACTCATGTGGAAAAGAACCAACAACAAGAAGTGGCATGTGAAGAGATTTTAGAGAATGTTTGGGCAAACTTCATATCCAAGAATGAAGCTAATGAAAAGGCTCAAAGTGAGACAAATGAATTATTTCCTGAAAAATGGGAAGAACTACCAAGTCTTGAAAGGTTGCCAAGCTTAGGAAGATGGATATCAATGGGAGCTGAAACTTGGGAAGAGCTTCTTAATGGAATTCTTCCTCCTAATGACAAAATACATTCAAATGATACATCAACAAGCAAAAATGAAGATGTCAAAAAAGAGAAGAAGAAGATGGTTGTAACAAGGCATTATAGAGGGGTAAGAAGGAGGCCATGGGGAAAATACGCGGCGGAGATAAGGGATTCATCAAGAAAAGGAGCTAGGGTTTGGCTAGGAACTTTTAATACTGCTGAAGAAGCAGCCATGGCTTATGATAAAGCAGCTTTGAGAATAAGAGGTCCTAAGGCCTACTTAAACTTCCCCCTTGAAACTGTTGCTCAAGCCATGGGAATATCTGTTCCTGAACAAAAATGGACTTTTCCACCATCAGCTTCACAAATAGGAGGTGCATATCTTGGCTGGGATGATCAGTCTATTTCAAATTCAAGGAAAAGGGTGTCCAGAGATTGGAGCATGTTTGAAGATTTAGATGTAATTAATCAATTACCTCTACAAAAGAAAATTATGAGAAGTTGGGAGGAGGATCTTGATCAGAGTGACTTGGACATCCTAGAGTTTGAAGATCTTGGAAGTGATTATTTGGACAGTTTATTATCCTCTTTGTGATTGAATAATTAAATTTTAAGTTGTAGACATACAATTAGGGAAGATAGGGGCATAAGGCACCTAGCTAAGTTAAAATGATATTCTTGGATATTATGTATAGGAATTTATTGGATGATTCATACTTTGTTTATACAAATTTATACTGTATGCATGCCACATGATTTTAGTTATCGCCTCTTTATTTCATGAATATTGAGTTGCAAAATTATAACTTCTGTATGTTTTCTAATTATCGTCTTAGTTGCATAATTAGCAAACGACGAAAGCTGGAAAAGTTTCTGAAGTCACTATTGAGTGGTTGAAGAGAATTGGCGGTTAGTAGTAGTTTGACTGCTTATGTAGTCTTTCCTTCCGATTTCTTTTATCTCACAGAAATAAAACTAAGTTTCCTAGAATGTATGTAGTCCACCAAAAAAAAGAAAAACTAATTTCTAACCAGAGAACATTTCTTCTCAAGAGCTAAGACAGAGGTTTGGCTAACCAACCATTCTTGAAAAAAATGAATCATTTTCTAGAAGTTACGTAGATCTATCTAGTCTAGACAAATATTGCAGAGTTCACTGATTACGTATAATGCTTTTCTAGACGGGAAGACAACCGAAATATTTTATATTACGTGCCTTGATCCGTGTTGTTTCAATTTAGATGAGGTAGCTTGACTCCGCACATACTTTAAGAAATAAAAAGAAATTTTTTGAAATTTGTGGTCTTAAAAGCTTAAGGGGTAAAAGTTTAGTAGGGCCATGACTTTTGTGTGCTTATAAAAGCTTCTCATTAAGGATAAAATATGTAAAATGAAGAGTTTAAAATTGAAATATTTCCAAATTTAAAAATATGTCATTTATTTTGGAACAGACACAAAAGGAAAGTACCTCGTCTAATTTGAAACGGAGGGAGTACTTTATAATTACTTCTCTTTGCGGTAAACGTGTGACAAAAGTTTATCAAATGGTCCATTTTGAATTTCTATAGCTCTCGGGTAGTTTATAAACAAAAAGTCATCAAGGTGTGCTTATAAAATTACTTTTGCTTTTTCAAAAGTTATGCTCGTTTATAATATACGTAAAGATGGCTTTGGAGATTTTAATTTTGTTGAGGTTTTGTAATTTAAGATGAAATAGTCTTAAAATGAGGGTGAATGAGAAATGGAGGGAAAAATAAAATTTTTGAGTAAAATTTTAAGTTTTTCCCTCTTGACAATGAGACATTGTCCCATATTGGAAAAGGAAAAGATTTTTGGTGGGTATATATATAATTGCTCTTCTTGTAGCTCTTAAAGAGTTAAGAAGAAAGCAAGCCTCGCGCCGTCGTCGTCGTCCCTCGCTCGGCTACGGCTTCCGGATTCGGATTCGGATTCGGTCAAATGATCGATTGATTGATTAATTTTTTGGACCAAATTTATTTGTTAATAGTAAATATTAACGTAAGATTATCCGTATTTGTAACGGATATGTTCCAATCCGTGTATTGACCACCAGCTGTAATAGCAGCCGCCTAATGCACTTCCCACTTCCCACCATGGCCAAGTGCTTGAGTAAAATTTTAAGTTTCCCCCTCTTGATAATGAGACATTGTCTCATATTGGAAGAGGAAAAGATTTTTGGTGGGTATATATATAATTGCTCTTCTTGTAACTCTTAAAGAGTTAAGAAGAAAGCAAGCCTCGCGCCGTCGTCGTCGCTCGCTCGCTCTGCTCTGCTCGGCTTCGGCTTCGGTCAAATGATTGATTGATTAATTTTTTGGACCAAATTTATTTATTAATAGTAAATATTAACGTAAGATTATCCGCATTTGTAACGGATATATTCCAATCCGTGTATTGACCACCAGCTGTAATAGCAGCCGCCTAATGCACTTCCCACTTCCCACCATGGCCAAGTGCTTGAGTAAAATTTTAAGTTTTCCCCTCTTGACAATGAGACATTGTCTCATATTGGAAGAGGAAAAGATTTTTGGTGGGTATATATATAATTGCTCTTCTTGTAACTCTTAAANGGCTCGGCTTCGGCTTCGACTTCGGCTTCGGCTAAGATTATCCGCATTTATAACGGATATGTTTCAATCCGTGTATTGACCACCAGCTGCAATAGCAGCCGCCTAATGCTCTTCCCACTTCCCACCATGGCCAAGTTAATTTTAAGTTTCTTCCGCTTGACAATGAGACATTGTCCCATATTAGAAGAGAAAAAGATTTTTGGTGGGTATATATATAATTGCTCTTCTTGTAGCTCTTAAAGAGTTAAGAAGAAAGCAAGCCTCGCGCCGTCGTCGTCGTTGTCGTCGCTCACTCTGCTCGGCTCGGCTTCGGCTTCGGATTTGGATTTGGTCAAATGATTGATTGATTAATTTTTTGGACCAAATTTATTTGTTAATAGTAAATATTAACGTAAGATTATCCG